AGGTACTCACTTGGAAAACTATCTTTCCTATCTGTATGGTGCAGAGGCATGAGTGGTACCCTAGAAGGATAAAAAAGATGATTGATGTGCGAACAAAGCTGCCGGCACAGCAACGCTTGAGTCGGTGGGGCAACTAGCGAAACGCTTTAAGTAATACGCATTACCGAAAGGGCTTGACGTACATGGATAATAACCGTCACAAAAGAGGCTTCCTCTGAGTGTGGAGGAAGGCTTGGAGTGACTGTGTGAACAACAGTGTTGTAAGTCCTATAGGTTGAGTCAAGTCTCTCGGTTAGNAGACAGCGGTGTTCGAACACCGACAATCTATTTTTATCCTGTTCCCATAGTGGATTTACGCCTCACTGCCTTGTAGGACGGACTTTTGAGTCGAACGTTCCGGTTAGGATTCCCAAAGAAAAACCCCTTCGTCGGTTTGGGCTNAACTATCTTTCCTATCTGTATGGTGCAGAGGCATGAGTGGTACCCTAGAAGGATAAAAAAGATGATTGATGTGCGAACAAAGCTGCCGGCACAGCAACGCTTGAGTCGGTGGGGCAACTAGCGAAACGCTTTAAGTAATACGCATTACCGAAAGGGCTTGACGTACATGGATAATAACCGTCACAAAAGAGGCTTCCTCTGAGTGTGGAGGAAGGCTTGGAGTGACTGTGTGAACAACAGTGTTGTAAGTCCTATAGGTTGAGTCAAGTCTCTCGGTTAGAGACTGTGAAAATCCTAATCAGGGGTTAGAGATGTAGCTATATGGCTGTGTCGTTGCACCGAAGCATCCACTCGTCTTCTATGCAGACAGTAAATGAAGCAAGAATCGCAAAGCTAGAAAGGACTGGAAAGCTGCCTCGACCTGGTTGGGTTTCTATAGCAGTGTGAATCCATCCATCCCATGGGGAATCGAACCGGGGACCTCAAACGCTTGACCAACGGGTAACTGATCGCACCGTTTTCCACATTATCCATATACGCACTCTCATTCTATCGCTGCGAGCTTAGTGCAGAAATCGCGAATTTCATCACCAAGATTCACACTGCTGATGGCACCTAACCGGATAGAAGCTGCCTTGCGGGTCAGGCTGACCAAATGCTCCTGTTGTGGAGTCGGAAGCAACCCGATTCAAACTTTCCAAGCATAGAAAGAAAGCTGGAACAGCATTACTTGTGGGAAATCACTTTGGCAAGAGATCAGAAGACGACTCTCACTAGTTGCTTACAAAATCATGTACTTTGCATTATGGCGAATGAGGTGTTCCCAAGCTTCTTCTATGGTGAGTGAGCGTATTTTTTTTGTTGGCTGGCACGTAACGGTGGCGGGATGTTGGGCTGCGTAAGTCAGGATGGCAGTGGAATGCTGAATCTTTAAAACGTAAAGCATGTTTGCAAGTACAGTTATATTACTAAAAGTATAGTGGTTCGCCGGACATGGAGAAGAACCAAAGTGATCGAAATAATTCATCAATGTATATGTGATTATTACAGAGAGAGAAAGAGAGAGGAAATGTACTAAGCACCAGAGACCTCGAGTCCCAACAGATGAACTCACCCACGTCAATCATTCTTTCACCGGGATGTGCACTGCGCCAGTTGTCCAGATGTTCCTGTTCCTTCAGCTCCATGCGGTACTCGTGGAAACGTACTCTAATCACGCTCTGCATGCAGACATTTGAAGCCAAGAAAGAGTGAAATCAACTAACTGAGAAGCACAATAAATGACCAGTCCTGTGCCAGCAGGAAAAAAATCAGTTAGCGGCAACGATAGTTTAAGTTTCAGCTTTTAAAACCATTAACCATGCACTTTCGTGCGCCGGTTTTGGTTGCTGTCT